GGGGGGGGTAGCTCAGCGACGACAATACCTTACGGTTCAGCGAACTCACTTTGGAATCGCAGTTGAATCGAGATTTGAGCTTCGAGGTTGCGTCGGGGGTCTCTATTTAAACTGGACACGTGACTACGTTTACGTTTGGAGGGTGTCTTTATCCTTTGAAAACCAAAATCAAATATATTGTTTGATGGGCGAGTCTATGGAGCCCTTGGAGCTCTCGGTATCCTCCTCCCTTATTCACGTGAATCGGACTGGAAGAGATTGCGTGACTTTATTGGCTATTTCTGATCGATCGGGGACTAATGCTTTCTTAATTGGGTCTCGGAAAAATATTTCGACCTCAGGGCGAATCCGCACGACGACTTCGCTAAGGATTCCCCAGACGTACGTGTGGAAATGAAATTTTTTCGAAAATTTTTTTTCAGATTCCTCTTGCCCCGTGGATCGTGACTTTCGATCTGGACGAGAGGGGCGATTGCGTTTCACGAGATCGCATGGAAATTTCTAAGACTCGAATCACCGGATGCCCTTCCGAACCGGAAGTCCAAAGGAATGGAAAATTCTCGCTTAACAACTGCGACGAGCGTCCGTGACGGTGGCCCGTCTATGTATATCGAACGAAGGAGATAACGCTCCTCTTTACCTGGATGCGCTGTAAGTATGTAAATTTCCCGGACTCCCGTCCTTCTTCGTCCGAGAGAAGTTTAACCGGGAGACACGCGGGGTCTGATCGATAAGATTCAATTTACTTGCACCAAAACGGGTATACTTGGTGATATAGCTCGAGAACGTTAGTTACCTCCGTGACGTTATTGCCTTGGTAATAACGTGACAGTAATTTATATGTAAAATCGTTCTGCCGAATATTTCCAGAGACGCGTAAACAGAGCCCTGTAGGATGCGGTAGGAAGGATTTTCAAAAGGTGCATCGGCACTCGTGACACTTACGTGGAGATTACGTATATATACGTATACGTTATACTTTTCCCTCATCCATTTCTCTACCTCTCCCGCTCAGTCTCCACCTTGATTCTGTACCCTTTCAAGGATTTACAGAAGCAATAGACGCCACAGGGATTTTCAGTTGTACCTTTAAAGGTAGAAAATACAGTCTCTTATCGATAACTTAGCCAGCCGGGTTTTCTCTTATCTTGGTTAACCGAGTGATAGATGCCATCCTCGCGAACCACCCCTCAGACCCCGCCTTACCACCCTCGGGGAACGCACTTGAAAGAACTGCATTACATCGGAGCTCTTGCGAGCGCGAATAAATCTACTCGGCTTTCTCGACTTCTCCGCAGCGCTCGCTACTTCACTCTCGATTCGATATATACAGGGGGGGTGTAGGTGGCGAGAGAGAAGATCCTCGGGTTCGCAGGAGCTCTATACGGAGAATGGAGAAAACGAAGAGGACGGTATGGACTACCCCGAAGAGAGAGAGAGTGAGAGGGATGAAGCCCTTATAGGCTTTTCTAGGGGTTGCGCGCTATGGGTTCCGATGGCTTTCCGTTCCCTGTAGCTCCCGTGGGATTCGAATTGCCTCGGCGTCCCTGGTACTCCTGGTACTCCTGGTATTACTACGGGATACAGCATCCCTCGCCACTGTTCCCTAGCGCGTTAAGCAGAGGGTGCTGCCGAAATCCTATATGGGAAAAACCCGATCGCCCGTGTCTCGACTTCGTTCGAATGCAGATAGGAGGGGGGAGAGGGGGGGGGGTAGTGTCGGTGCTTCTTAAACGCCTTTCCTACTGTTATTATTATTTTTCTTCTTTACTGTTATTATTATTAACTCAAAGATACGGTAAGGGATATTTCCTAGAAATAATGACCGGAGGGGATGCTGGGCTTGAATATACGGGCTCGGGCGACTGCCTGCCCGTGACTCGAGACGCCGGCGCCTCCCTGGCGACTCTTCCGCACCCGGATGGGAAAAACTACCCCTAAGTACTGGCTAAAGGATTGTCAATGCTCTCCTCAGCCGACGTCTCACCCCACTGCGACAGAACTTCCGAGAGAGGATCTTCTTTTTATTCAATGCTCGGCCACCCTCTTAACCCCTCCGCCCGTCACCACCTACCCGCTCCTGTATAGCTTCCCCTCCGATCCCCCCCCCCC